AACTTTTTTATCTCTTCACATACACAAACTCATTTTTTCAAAACAAAAAAATCTTTTCACTAAATCCCTACTTTTCCCCCCACTTCAACTCAAACTTCGTTCCCCCACTTTTATTACAACAACAACTCACTCCCTACATGCTCTTTACTAACACACAAGCAACTCCTCACTCAATTTACTTTTCAAAACTCAGCTCATCACTCATTCCAATTTAATTTCACACTCACTCACTCATTTATTAATTTTATTTCACACTCACTCTCTCCTCATTCACCTTTTTATACACACTCACTCATATCAATTTCACACTCACACTCCCTCATTTCATTCACTTTTGCTTGTTCCTCCCACAGCAAACATGGGGCACCGCTTGCGTCACCCATGCTGTCAATCAATCGGTCAGTCAGTCAGTCAGTCAATTAGTCAGTCAATCAATCAGTCAGTCAGTAATTAGTCAGTCAGTCAATCGGTCAATCAGTCCAGTCAATCAGCCAATCAGTCAGTCAATCTGTCAGTCAGTCAGTCAGTCAGCAGCCAGCAGGCCAGTCAGTCAGTAGCCAGTCAGTAATCAGTCAGTCAGTCAGTCAGCCAGCCAGTCAAGTCACTCATCACTCACTCTCGCTATCACACTTACTCACTTCCGCGCTCACTCACGCACGCAACTCCCGCTCAGGCAAGCAAGGTTATCTCCTCATGAGGCTTTGAGAACTGTGCATCGCCTAATAAGGAAGGAGGAGTAAGGAGGACGAGGAAGGAGGAGGATAAAGGGAGAGGAGCAACAGAATAAGCATAAAGAGGGGAAGAGCAAGAGCAGAGAGATAGAAAATAAAAGGAAAATAATGAAGATGGCAATAAGGAGAAAATATCATGCGTAGGAGAATAACAATAACAATGATAAAAAACAACAACAAAAACAACAACAACAACAATAACAACAGCAGCAATGGCAATAACAATAAGAAAAAGAAGAAGAAAAAGAAGAAGAAAAAACGTGAAAAGGAGCCGACGATGATTAACGGAGAGGGACATAAAACTGAAAGAGCCGCTAAGACGCACGCCGCTTTGCAAAGGAATGCGAGGTTCTTCCGGTCCATCTCTCTCTTTTAATTTCATTTTTTCCCCCTTCCTTTTCCCTTTCTATTTGCATCTCCCTAATCTCCTCTCCCTATGTCTGCTTCTCTCATCTTCTCTTCTCCTTACTTCCTCCTCTTCCTCTATCTGCCTTTTTCTCCCCTTCTTTCCTTTTTACTTTCTTCTTTCCTTCCTCTCTCTTTCTCTCATTCTTTACTCTCCTCCACCTCCTCTCATCCCTTCATTCCTCCCCATCCATCATGTCTCTCTCTCTCTCCTTCTCCCCCTTTTCCATCCCTCTCCCTGACCTGTTTCTCCTCCTCCTCCTCTTCATTTTTCCGAACCCTACCTTCTCTCCTCCTTCCACATATTCCCTTTCCTCTCTCCCCTCTCTCTCTCCTTTCTCCCCCTCCCCTCCCCCCTCTCCCCCTCCCTCTCCCTCCCTCCCCTCTCTCTCCTTTCTCCCTTCCCCCTCTTCCCCTCCCCTCCCTGCCCACACACACCAACCCACATTGATAACCTATCTCTCCCTTGCATGCGCTGCTTGCCCTTCCAACAAACGCGTAGGTGCAACACAATTCAACGTTGCAAATACACCCAAACATCTATCGCTATCACTATATCCCCATCACCCAGAAAACAGAAAAATAAGAACAAAACATAAAAAATAAATAAAAAATAGGCACACACACAAAAAAAAAATATATATATATACATATATAATATATATAAAATGTCGAAGGTCGCCCCATCCAAACAGCTCTAAAAAACAGACGTAATTAGTGAATTCATTAAACGGTCTGATTCAAACGAGTTTTTATTCATAAACAATAAAAATGAAGGAAAAGCTTTGAAGTTCCAAAATATTTTCCACCCTGTCAACCCCCAAAACAAACAATTTAATTAAAAATAGCTAGGGTCTCTGAATCTTTTCCCGCATAACAGCCAGCTGACCTTCATATAAGTAATATATAACAATAAAAATGTAAAAAAGAAACACACAAAACAACATAAAAAGGCAACACAACCGACTATAATAATAAAAATGAAATATGAAGAATGGTAATGATGGAAACAACAGAAACAAAACAAAATACAACAATAATAATGTATGTATAGCACATACGAAAAATAATATAATAAAAACACGAATAAAGCTAACAATAACAACAGCAACAAAAAAAAATAATAATAATAACAATAATACCGCCCACTAAACGTAACATTTGCGATTTGCCAGTGTTCGTGGATTCATTAAGTAAACTTTTGAATGCAAAATAGAAAGAAAAAAAAAACAGTCCAAGGGCAAACTAACTTTTTAAAAACAAAAGTCCACATACTAGAGTGATTTTAAGACGGGAAAAAAAGAGGGAGAGGGAGAATGTGAAAGAGGGAAAGAGAGAGACAGAGAGAACAAGAGAGACACAGAAACAAGCAGAGAAAGAGAGAGAGA